GTTTTCTCTGTAAAAGATCATATCACAGAATTTGTTAAGACTTGTTTTGATATTTCTTATCTTCTTTCCTACTTTTACTACTTTATTTATAATATTAAAATTACCACATTTCAATTCTAAGGCAATACGTTTTCTTAGGTTACTATTATTTGCTAATTTATCTTTTCTTTCCTATTATTGAAAAATTTAAATTGAGCTATAGATATTTTCTCACTCCTCTTTTCTTTCCCCTCTCCCTTTCCACCATCTCCCCTGCCCACCCAAACTCCCAATTTACTTTGGAGAGCTTTTATTTCCCCCCCTCCTAGGCAGATTCATGTATGTCTTCCTTAGTGTTCTCTTTGTTACCTAGGATCTCTGGGGTTTTGGACTTTAGCCTGGTTGTCCTTATTTCATATCCCTGTCTAATGTTCTTGTCTAATATGTCAAATATCCACTTATAAGTGAATATATAATAGATTTGTCTTTCTGGGTCTGGCCATCTCTAGTTTCATTCATTTGCATGCAAATTTGAAGACGTTTTTACCACTGAGTAATACTCCATTGTGTAAATGTATCACATTTCCTTATCTGTTCTTCAGTTGAAGAGTATCTAGGTTGTTTCCAGGATATGGCTATTACATTTAATGTTGCTATGGATTTCAGTAGCCTAGGGTGCCTTCACCATCTTGAACACCTGATACTCTTGCTTCCATAACATTAGTCTTGACATTATGGGCATGTACCATATCCCATTTATGAACAATATTTTTATATGATAGTTCCCAGTCAAAGAAAATATGTGACATTTTGTTCCATTTCTTTGTCATTTGCTTGAAAACTACTGAGTTCACCTTATTAGTATGAAACAAGTTCTTTGTGTTGTGCAGCTCAAGTTTTTACTCATTGTTCCTTCACAGATTATCATTACATATTCTCCTGCATTAGCCCTTTCAAAGCACTCTACCATACAATGTAAGTGATTATGAATTTTTATATCACTGGCATTGGTCAATACATAAAACTACCTCTCTCACATATTGCCAGTGTCCTTAGTTACATTTATTCATGAATCCCCTGCTTTGTTATAGACTTACTGAGAATCTATATTCCATAATAAACTGAGAGTCCTTGTTAGAAGAACCGGTGGAGTCACATATTTTAATGTCTTAATATCATTTGTTATGAAGGACTTCTACTTGTTTGCATCATGTCCAAATGCATATAAACAAATATGTACTAGTAAATGATATAAAAATATTCCTACCATGGTTGTGCGTGTGTTGATGTATGTGTATGCTTGTGTGTGTGTGTGTGTGTGTAGTGTGCATGTGTATGTGCAGTGTGTAATTGTGTGTGTATGTAGTCAAACTCAATAGGAAATAATTAGTTTTTAAAATGATATGAGATGCATTTGTTGTAGGGAAAGTAGTTGGCTTAAGACAGTATAGTTTTAAATTTATTCCATACATTTAAATTTTTATAAAATAGATAATTGTTTGATAATGTATTGACATTTAATTTTGCTAGAGGGTGGAGAAAACATAAAACAAATATCTGTCCTGTTTTCAAAAATTTAAATATGATATGTTGATTCATCATTGGGTTATTGGGGACACAGCATCTAATACAAGTTTATATTGCTCTGTGACATTTGCAGAATTACCATTCTTTCATATCTTAAACAATATGCATATTTTCTAAGATGCAATATGAGAAACCATGTGTAAAATTTCACTTTTCCTTAATAAAAAGTGTGTTCATGATACAAAGCTCTGAGACATCTGGTGAGAAATGAGACCTAGATACTTAAGCTTTTTGTATATTTATAAATAAATGATTATGCTATCTTTTTCTTTTATTCATACATATTGACTAGTAGAAGTATTGTTATATTTTCATTTCCAAGCATCATTATATTCTTTGCTATTCAGATCCAAAATGGATCCCTTCAGATCAGACTCCTAAAGCTTTCTTTCTATCCTCTATTTCCTTTCTTTCTTTCTTCCTTTCTTTCTTTTATTTTTACCCATCCTGAACTTTTGCTTGTAGACATATAATGAAAAAGACGAAAAAAGTCTATGTGTCTCTTTGGAAATTCATTCTTCTTGAAGATCAGGGACAGTGCTCAATAGATCCTCAGCGTTTAAACTTTCTGAATATGACATGATTTGTAATACAGAAGTAAAGACACTTCAAAGTTGACCATTCAGAAATGTGACCTGTCTATTGCACTTAGCTTTAGGTGAGTTCATGAGCGTCTCCCTGCTGTGTCTCTTCCTGTCCCATTTTATGAGGTTGGAAGAATAATAGAAATGATATGATAGCTCCTGTGTTTAGGCAGCACAGTTTATACGAGCATGTTATTAACTCCATCATTTTGTAGTGCTAGCTGTTTCAATTTAAAAGTGCATGTGAAATTTAATTAAAAGTTATAACAGAAAAAATGACAGTTGCATCCTAAGTGTGTCACTTTATTTGATGATAAGTTGTTACACAGAACATTACTGTTATCTTCTCTAGTCTGTATTTTGTATAACTAACCAAATATCTGTAAGACTCGCTGGTTCTTATGTGTGTATTCATGAGTTGATAGTAACAGGCAAATAATTCTTTTTTCACATAAAAGATAAAATGAATTTTTATTTAATTATGAACTTGAAAAAAGTAATTCAAATAATTAACAAGCAATTCAATAGTCAAATAAAACATACATACCTACATAATTGTTAGTTTTCTAAAACTTTTACCACAATAGGATTTAAAATCTCAAGTCATTTCTCTCTTGTATGTTTATTCACTTTGAAAAGGTTATAAATATAATAGTTTTAGTTTGCAAACATTCTCAATTGTTTGAGAACTGTCAAAATATTTATTGGTACTAGTAATAAGGAGAGTTACAAATATTAATAAAAATGAGTGAACTTAGTGATTAAATGTGCACATCAATGCAGTGTAATACACATATACATGTCATGTCTTTGTTGATTATTTGAAGGTTGTCTAAACATATAATACTTATTTGCAAGTCATCCCATGCGAATTTAATAATGGGAATATTTCTGTAAGGAAAGATTTGCTCCAAGGTGATGTGGCTGCGTTTATTTGTTAAATCAAGTGATCATGCCATATTCGCTCAAGTAGAGTACTTTTGATCTCCCCTCAAATATCTCACATCCTCCTCGATAAATCACTTTCTGTATGAATAGATATAATTCTAAATACTGTGTGCTTGTCAGATCCATGAAGTGACTTGTAGAAGGACTTATTTTCAAAATTATCTTGTCAATTTCATTGTGACAGCAGCAGAGGCAGGTAGCAGCGGTTTTCTTCTGATTATGTTAAAATCTCATCTATTATTTAGTTCAAAGCTGACAGCATATATTAAGACTTAATGTAGGCTTTCCATAATTCAGACTAAATTTATCTTGCCCAATTTTATATGTTTTTGTCATTTGAGGGTTATAATTTCGTCAAAGGTTAATTCCAGAAGGAATTTTTCCAAATTATTCCAATGTTAAATAAGTAAAGCATGATTTGGGGGTGGAAAATATACCATGTGAATCTACCATTAGCATAAGGGGAAAGATATTATAGGTTTTACAAAATGCTTTTGAGGGTCCGTTAGCAGATGTATGGGCTAGCTCTCATTCTGACTGACAGTCTATATCTAGCAGACATCAACTGTGACTTGTCTGCTACACAACTTGATTCATAGAATAAAAGTAATTTTCTGGACAACCCTTACTCCTCACTTACACAGAAAAACATGAGAAACCAAATATTTAGGTGGTGACACAGGTAGGAGATGAAACACGTTTTCTAATCAAATGCGAAAAATCCATTATTATTATTGTTATACATAATTTTGGAACTTATAAAAGAATCTTTCTTGAACAAATTTTTTGTTGCATTTTAACCTTTGATAGAGAATGCTTTCAGACACTCGTGGAAAATAAGAATTTCAAGACCTCAGAGGGAAAACCTAGAGAATTTGCTTCTACTTTCCTCTCACTTTCTCTCTTGGATCTAACTTAACTTTGATCCAGTAGAGAATTGGCCTCCCATAACCAGCACTGTGAACAACTGCTAGTTTCAGGGCTTCTCTAGAATTAACTAAATGTTATGTGGAAAACAATGTCACAGTATGTATGTTGAGGTGAAAGTGTCTCCTAGACTAGTGAGCCGCAGAAATTCTCAATAACACCCTCTGTTGGCAATAAGATAGTGACTCTTATTTGTATGGAGTATTGTAGCAACCTAAAATTAGTGAGATTCAAAATCCCTGAACTCCATGACAAATGATGGAAGATTTGAATATTTATAACTGACTGGTTAGTAATGCAATTTATCATGTAGTGTGGCATGTCTATAAAATTATTAGCACAACAATTTTAGAGTTTAAAGCTGTAGTATTTAGCATTCATTAAAACTTTTGCATCAAATAATCAGCTAGTTGAATATTTGGAAAGAGTTCATAAATGTTGGTGAGTGATTACTAGAAATAAATTATGTCATAATAAATGATTCTTCCATTTGGGAAATTTAAACTGATAGTTGATAGCTTCAGAAAAAGTTATTTTGTATATTATAATTTCATTTCAGATTTATAATGCATAGAAAATGTGACCTATAGCAAAGAAAAGTAGTAGAAAAATTAGGAAAGTCAAACACAATTAGTAGTATAACACAGCATCTATATAGGGCTACATTTTTTAGAACAGTACAGGAAACACTTTCAGAAGTATTGTTTTAGGAAAATCATATTTACTAATAAAAGAATATTTATCTGAAATAATAGTTACAATGAAAGGAATAGTAGGATTGCTCAACTAACTTGCTTGCATGTACCTTTATTATAAACAGTAACTTAGTTTGAATTTTGCAAGTGTCAACCCTGATATATGAATGTGTATCAATGTTTGAATGAGGGAGTAATAATCACAGAGTAAACCAGGTAAAGTTGACAAAATGCATGTACATGAGCAGATTTTGCCAGAGATAATTGCTGTTGTCCTTGCAGTGACCTGTTGCCAACATCTGGTGATATATCTTATATGTATTCCACTCATGAGTGAAAGAGCTGATAAATATATTTCAACATGTCATCCTTTCGTGCAGAAGCACATCTACAATTTAAAGTCAAATAGCATAGGTGAATAATTCCAGATTTATTTAAGCACTTTGGAACATATACATTCAGGTCCTAATATGTTACTGGTTAAAAATCCATTGTAGATATATCACATTAGACATATCTCCCTAGAAGATGATAAAAATATAACAAATACCTACAAAAATGGAATTAAATAGATTGGATAATACAACATAATTAGGATAGTCAACAATGATTATTTTGACACGGCAGAGGCTAAAAACAAAGTACTTCATTCACAAGTTTGGGTAGCTCAGCAGTCCCAGTGTGGTGAAGATAGGATGAAGGATTGCTTAAGATTAATGGTCTCCTTTAAGATTCTGGGTTGTAATGTCAGTAAAACTTAGCAGTAGCAGCAGAGGAGTTGACAGTGGCAGCAACAAGCTACATGCATTTGCCAGTCAGAGGTAGAGGCAAGCAGACAGAAAGGAAAACATTACCTTGAGGCCTCCTAATATCTGAACCTCTTGAAAGTACATCTCTGGAGGATGTCTTTTGCCTTCTGTTAATCTTCCAGGGAAACTCATTACAGACTCACCAAGGGGTATGTCTCTTAGCTGAATCCAGATCTAGTCAAATTGCCTATTAAAGTTAGCCATAATCCAGGGCATACTATAATTCTATTAAAGCAAGAGATACTTTTTGCTTTAAAGTTGTCAGAATTGCCAGATAACAAAACGAAAAATTCAAGTTTTCAAAGTTCAGTGAGTGTCATGAACAGGACATCAAGGCTTAAGCTAAACATGGAATACAGAAGTATCTGATGAATATGTGGGTAGAGTGAGAATGATATATAAAACATGATTAATGTGAGTGGATGTAATCATATATTTCAAATTCAGGTTCTATAAGGACATCTCCAGTACATGTCTATTCAAAATGAAAGGCAGGTGGGGTAACGAGGAAGTTGCTTAAGAGTATAAACACATGTAGAGAGAAGCAGAAAGACAGTCCTCTGAGGGTGGCCTGTCATACAGAAGAGCTTCTAAGTACACATACAATTTCAAGTCCAATAATACAGGTGAGTAACGCTACATTTACTCAAGCAGTACTAAATATGATGCATGAGTAATCACTTGGTATATGCATTGGTGTAGGGATTTTATAATGAAGAGCAAGAGGGAGGTGTGTGGGGTTAGAGGAAGGGTGGAGGGAGAACTTTCTTGGAATATAAAATGAAAGTAAAAATACATTTAATAAAAAAATAAGTAACTTAGCCGGGCAGTGGTGGAGCACGCCTTTAATCCCAGCACTTGGGAGGCAGAGGCAGGCGGATCTCTGTGAGTTCGAGGCCAGGCTGGACTGACAGCATCCAAAACAATACAGAGAAACCCTGTCTCATAAAACCAAAAAAAAAAAAAGTAACTGTGAAAGGGGGAGGATTCTTTATTCTGTCCAACGTTTTTAACAAAAACAAGCCAACACATACACTAAGGTTTCTTTAAAATAAAATAACCTATCATCAAACAAACAAAAAAATAAAGAATACAACTCCAGTAAAATAACCACTCAAAGTTTATCCAATAAGATCTGATTCAGAAAAAACTTGACATTCTCAATGAGATAGAAACCATGATGTTTTACAACATCACCACTGGAAATTAAAGAGAAATTAAAAAGCACCTGAACACAGCAGGGAAGCAGTACATATGAACCTACAGGATCCCAATAGCACAACAGCTAAGTAAACCAAATCTGGATGGAATTCCAGGATGAAGAGGAATATTGCACATGGAATCCTAACACTAGCTCTGAATCGAATGGCAATTGTTAGCTACTGGGAAGGAAGAGAACATTTTCTCTAAGAGTGTAGCCATGAGAGCTTACTCACACTCCAGTGGATGCCCAGGCATTCAAAAATATTTGGTCAGAGCAAGTTATTCTTGAAATGTTAAAATATATATTTTAACATTAGATGAACAACATTAGATGAACAGGGATAGGTGGGTGTGGATGTGGGAAAACATCAAGTGGAGAATAGAAAATTATCAAAATATGTTTGATAAAACTCAAAATTCTTAAAGAACTAAAAGGCAACTAAATAAAAACCACTAAATCTTAAGCAGTTGTACACTGTATAATACAATGATATAATACATAGGTTACTATATATTATAGCCACAAGAGATGATGTGGTCTACATGTTCATGTAATTTAAGTATGCAGACCTCTATCTTGCATGTAAAATGGTGTTTATCAAGTACTATGTAGATAGACCTAATAGAGGTTCTATAATGTATCTCTTTGTGTATTGGATTCTCTGATTTGTGGTATGTGATAAGCCAGGCAAATAAAAATTTTGGAAGGTAAGGGATTATTTGGGGAACACATTAATAATTCAACTAGACCAGTCATTCTTTTATAATAAAAAGCAACTCTGTTGAAATACAGTATAGAAATAATAGCATCTATTTATATTTAACCTATGTGCTTTATTTTGAGAGAGCTAATACAAGTTTTTAATGGCTTGAATTTCCACACCTCAGGAAAAATGTATATAACTATCTTACAGTCTTAAAATGACTCTCAAAGTTGTGATGGATACAAAATATGTCTTTTCCCCCCTCAAATAATGCAAGAGATGTGTTAAATTAGGATGTGGTAAAGTAAAACTTCATGTTTTACCAAGAACTACTTGTCTGGAATCAGTAAGAAGTGAAACAGTAAGATGATTAGGCAATTCCTACAACTGTAAAACTTATTACTGTTTGCTGTGATATATGCAAACTGAATTCAGCAGTAAAGGAAAACAAAAGGGTTTTAGGAAAGTGTTCTGAGGGTCATTATAACATAAAAGTTCTGTATAAGATTTGGGAAGCTTCATAGTTCAAAAAGTAAAATAAAATGAATCTGGGGTAATCTTTACATTGTAGAAATATTCTAAGTAGGTAAGTAGGTAAGTATTTTTCAAGTAGATAATACTATTGTAGAAATTAATTACACAGAATATATAGTTCATATTTTTCAAGGGTATTAGTAAATTAAAAGGCCATTCTCAGTGATACAATGAATGTGTTATTAGATTTCAGATGAACAAACATGTAGAAAGGATATACATAGAAGATTCAAGAAAGTGAGAGAGAACGAGAGAGAGCACATTGTCATCAACTCATTTCAAATTCCCAATATTAATATGACCTATTTACTGATATAAGTAAATGTGAGGTTAAAGAGAGTGCCTGGTCTCTACTTAAGTGGAGATAAATTCTTGGGAACATGTAATTTCTTAGTTAAGAGACAAACTGAAAATACACAATTAAGGAAGTGTGTACCAGAATTAGGGCATTCCAGATATTTGTTGTTTCCTCTAGTGACATCTTCAAACTGAAGAACTTATTTTCAGTCCCACACCATAGTCTTCAGTTTTTAAGTAATTATTTTAAAAAATGGTACCAGGTATGGATTCTCTTTTTAATTATATAATTCATTATTATTTAATTCTTTGTTAAAATATTTTTTCTTTCCAAATTATGACATTTTTTCTTAACTATTTTATTTCTTGCTTAGGGAATATGTGTGGAATTAATTGTTGTACACACAAATAGATGTTTTCATGCATGTCTATTAATGTAGATCTAGAAAATATATAATTCTACACCTTGTTATCATAATTTATTTTACAATTACAGCTCACTTATGCAGGCCCTATAATCCATTATAAATGCAGTAGTATTTGATTGTATCTAAGTTACAGTATATAAATCTAAGCTCAAAAGATTGTAAGTTAAATCCAAAACATGTTTAAAACTTTAATTTTTTGTCTGTATAATTGTAAGTGGTAGCACATTATGCATTCTGAGATACAAAAACTGGACTCATTGGTACCTACTGTGCTCCACTTACTCTGAAATATCTTCTTTATGCTTAATTAAACCATGACATTGAAAATAATGTTGCTTTTCTCTCTATCTTCCTTCTCTCTCTTCTTTGCATCACTCTCCCCTTTCCTGGTTTCTAATATATGAGAAAAATCAATCTTAAAGGAGACCAAGCATCTTGACAATATTATTGTAATAGCAATAGCAGAATAAGTGAATTGGAAAGCCAAAGTCTTTCCTCAGAGTGTGTGGAAGCCATTTGTACAGTGACCTTAAATTTCCTTATGTGTGTTGAACCATCAGTTTCTTACACAAAATGATAATTATTATATTAATTCTCTCTCTTGCTCATATATACATAATTAATACTTTGTATATTTCATCTATTCAGAACAGAATCATACCAATAAACAGAACAGTTAACTTGATTAACTATATGCTGATTTCATTGGATTTCTAAATTGTCAGTTACTACAATGAGTTTTACATTTCCCCTGAAAATGAATATTATTCTTTAAAGCATCTGCTATTTGAAATGGAACTATGATGAGTGACTGTATTCATTATTTTACTGGGCACACTGAGAGATAATGAAGGAGGTAACAATCATGGCAGGAATGCATTAATATTAAATATTTACTGCATAACTCACCCTTATTGGACACAGCTGTCGATAAAATGTGCCCTCACTGCTGACAAGTTGCTCCTGTGTTTTGCTTGTAGATTCGCTTGCAGCCCTGCTCTGTATTCTTTATCTTCCTCACGGCACCAGTGCTTCAATTAGGCAGTGCAATCTTCTGCATAGTGATTAGGAAATCACATTTAAGAAGGTGCTACAAAGAGATTTTCTCTGGAAGCTATGCAAAATGGCTCCCATGTTTTGAAATGTTTCCATGTACAGTATCAAAGCAGCATATTTGGATTTCAAATGCAAGTGACAGCTCACCTTGTATTCATCAGTTTTACTCATCTTAACGACTTTTGTGAAACTTTGGCTGGAACTACAATATCTTAAGCACTGGTTGACAAATAGAGCTACTTCTTTATTTAGTCTGTAAGAAAGAAGGGGAAAGAATTTCTTTTGTTAGAGTTTCAAATGGTGTTAGAGGCCAAACTACATCAAAGTAAAACATGTTTGTTACTATTGTAAGATAACTTGTTGAAAATATAAATGATAAATTGATCCATTTTGTAGTTATCTTATATTGAGCATTTAAGTAGTAGTTTGAACAGTAGGTCATCTGTGTTTTCAGAATGGAAATTATAACATACCAAGGTAAATATAATCTGAAAATACTTCTAAGATGAGAAAGCTTGAGACACAGGTCACATCCACAGATAGTTTTGTCACTATACAGAGACTTTTTTTATTAATACAATAAGTGTAACATTTAAAGTTATTACTTCTACAAAAGCTGAAATCTAACAAATATTGATTTCATGAGAAAAGATGTTCAGGACATTAAAATTAGTAATATTGGCAAGAGAAACCAAGACAGCCTTGGCACACTAATTTGTGTTTTTAATATTTTTCATCTTTTCTTTTGTCCAAGTATTAGAGATGACTTTTTTCCAAAATTAAGGTTCTATATATATGTCAAATGGAATTTCTATAGTTGTTAAAAGTGATTTTATATGGTGGTAAGATATTGATGTGAAGTTTTCACATTGATAAGATCAAGTTATTGATATCAATAAATGAAAAATGCAACTTTTTAAAGTATACATATATATATACACACACACAAGCAAAATGTACCCACTCTAAGCCTATATATGTTAGTAAAAACGCTATGAAACAAACTATTTGGAGAATTATAAGTAAGTATATCTACATTAACATACAGGGAATTATTACAATTATATTGCAGTTTCATTTTATTTGTTTACATTGTTTTCCAAGCAGACCATATTGGTGTCAAATTTACAGTTATGTCACAGACTGTAGATTGCGTGCATAACTTACCAAACCAAGCTCTAACTAAAAAATATCTGTACTGATAATTTAATAAGTGATAATTTATTGATAAAAGATATTTTGTCTTACAATTAATTATCTAGTTTCTACTTTCACAAGTACTTTTAGTCATAAAATGAAGTCAGTTCTTTCTTAGCTTTTGTTTCCTGCTAAGTTTTATGTTTGATGTGATTATAGGGCACATACTCTGTGTCAGAACATGTGGTTAAGTTTGCAGAATAAAGGCTATGCATCTAATTATCCTGTTTAAAAATATAGACCACTCTGATTAGGGGAAACAATATAGTCTGTATTTTTCTATGGAAAGATAAATAGTAGTTCATGCGTAATGCACTAGTGATGACAAGATGGAGTAATATAGACTAATTTCTTGGAAGTGATTATGCTATTGGCAGACCCTTGTTATTGTTTCTAAACACAAAGAGCTAACTGATGAGTTGCTTACATGTCCTTTTCTGATTTTTCAACATAATTACTCATCACCCAACAACATTTATAAAATAGGTAAAAGAAAGTAAAAATCATATTGGATGGTCACTTAAACTTTTACCTCCAAATTTGAAACTTGATAATGTGTACAGATTAACAGCCCTTTTCCCTAACCTTTCATGATGCTTGCAAATTATCTTCTTCAAATTTCTAGACAATAAACATTTAGTTATTTGCTGTTTTACTGATTGCTTTTTATTTTGTGGTCTGTGTGTGTGTGTGTGTGTGTGTGTGTGTGTGTGTGTGTGTGTGTGTTTATGGTGTTGGTGGTGGTGGTTGTTATGGGGGTGGTGGTGATGGTAGTGGTTGTAATGGTGGTGGTGGTGATGGTGGTGGTTGTAATGGTGATGGTGATTGTTGTGGTGATGGTGATGGTGAGGGTGATGGTGGTGGTGGTGCTGGTGGTGATGGTGGTGGTTATGGTGATGGTGGTGGTGTTGGTAGTGATGGTGGTGGTGGTTGTAATTGTGGTGGTGGTGGTGATGGGGGTGGTTGTAATGGTGGTGGTGGTGGTGGTGGTGGTGATGGCGGTGGTTGTAATGGTGGTGGTTGTAATGGTGGTGGTGGTGATGGGGGTGACAGTGGTGATGGTGGTGGTGGTTGTAATGGTGGTGGTAATGGTGATGGTGGTGGTGTTGGTGGTGATCTGGAACTGGTGATTGTGATGCTGGCTGTGGTGGTAATTTTGCAGTAGTGTTAATGATTCGTTTTGTTAAATTTTGGTAAAACAATATGACAATATGTATATATTCTGAATAGATAACATGTACCTATCACACTATTTGTAAAGGTGGCAATTCCTCCTGTATCCAAGATTTAGAGATATTTTGAAATTTTGTTTGGATTTTGACTTTCCCAGTTCTAGAGTCTATTAATTTTATGGATCTCATATCTATCCATGTGACTTTCTGCCTCTCAGATTATAAAAAAGACCTAGGCAATCTATGCGGCTTTGGGTAATAGATCAGTATTTATCCCTGGCATACAAATGGACTTTGGGTGCCCATCCCACAATGCAGAATGCTCTCTCAATTTGGACATTTGGGGGAGGGCCTGGGCCCTCCCCAGAATGAAATGACAGACTCTAGAAATCACCCATGGAGGGTGTTACCTTCCCTGGGGAATATAGTGGGAACTAGGTAGGGGGGGAAGGGGCCGTCTTATGGGGGAAGTGGATGTGGAGGGGAGAGAGAAGGAGCTGGGATTGACATGGGAAGCAAGCTTGTTTCTAATTTAAATATATAATAAAAAACTCTCAAAAAAACCTTCTTCTCCCTTCTGCGTTTTCTGACTGACTGAAGATCTATGTCTCTTAAATATCATTTGCCTTTAACGTAGGGATCTAGGAGTTGTAGAATTTGTACATGTGGTCAGCCACCATTATTGCAAATCCTAAATTAAGACTGTACTTCTAAAATCAGGAAGAAAACAAGGCTATCCACTCTCTCCATACCTTTTCAACATGGTACTTGAAGTTCTAGCCATTGCCATAAGACAGCAAAGGGGGATCAAGGGGATACAAATTGGGAAGGAAGAGGTCAAACTTTCACTGTTTGCAGATGATATGATAGTTTATATCAATGACCCAAAGAACTCTACCAGGGAACTCTTACAGCTGATTAACACCTTCAGCAAAGTGGCAGGCTACAAGATCAACTCAAGAAAATCAGTAGCCCATACTCTTGGATAAGTAGGATCAATGTAGTAAAAATGGCAATCCTGCCAAAAGCAATCTACAGATTCAATGCAATCCCCATTAAAATCCCAGCACAATTCTTCACAGACCTTGAAAGAACAATAATCAATTTTGTATGGAAAAACAAAAGACCCAGGATAGCCAAAACTACGCTGTTCAACAAGGCAACGTCCAGAGGCATCACCATCCCTGACCTCAAGCTCTATTATAGAGCTATAGTCCTGAAAACAGCTTGGTATTAGCACAAAAATAGAAAGGTAGACCAATGAAATCGAATTGAAAACACGGATATTAACCCACACACGTATGAACATCTGATCTTTGACAAAGAAGCTAAAAATACACAATGGAATAAAGACAGCATCTTCAACGAATGGTGCTGGCATAACTGGAGGCTGGCATGTAGAAGAATGCGGATCGATCCATGTTTATCACCACGCACAAAACTTAAGTCCAAATGGATCAAAGACCTCAACATAAATCCAGCCACACTGAACCTCTTAGAAGAGAAAGTGGGTGGTACCCTTGAACGAATTGGTATAGGAGACAGCTTCCTGAACATAACACCACTAGCACAGACAGTGATATCAACAATTAATAAATGGGACCTCCTGAAACTGAGAAGCTTCTGTAAGGCAAAGGACACAGTCAGCAAGACAAAAAGGCAGCCCACAGAATGGGAAAAAATATTCACTAATCCCACATCTGACAGAGGATTGATCTCCAAAATTTACAAAGAACTCAAGAAGCAAGTCTCCAAAACACCAAATGATCCAATTAAAAAGTGGGCTTCAGAACTAAATAGAGAATTTTCAATAGAGGGGTCTAAAATGGCTGAGAGGCACTTGAGAAAGTGCTCAACATCCTTAGCCATCCGGGAAATGCAAATCAAAACAACTCTGAGATACCATCTCACTCCTGTCAGAATGGCTAAAATCAAAAACGCCAACGACAATTTATGCTGGAGAGGATGTGGTGAAAGGAGGACACTCCTCCATTGATGGTGGGAGTGCCAACTGGTTCAGCCACTTTGGAAAGCAGTATGGAGATTCCTCAGAAAAATGGGAATAAACCTACCACAAGACCCAGCAACTCCACTCTTAGGCATATATCCAAAAGATGCCCATTCATACAACAAGGATGTCTGTTCCACTATGTTCATAGCATCATTATTTGTAATAGCCAGATCTTGGAAGCAACCTAGATGTCCCTCAACCGAAGAGTGGATAGAGAAAATGTGGTACATTTACACAAGGGAGTACTATTCAGCAGAAAAAAAAAAAAACAACGGAATCCTGAGATTTGCAGGTAAATGGATGACACTAGAAGAAACCATTCTGAGTGAGGTAAAGCAGTCACAAAAAGAGAAACATGGCATGTACTCTCTCATATATGGATTTTTAGACATAGATCTGGGGAGTACCAGCCTACAATCCCATGGTCAGAGAGTCTGGGAAACAGAAACTTCATTCAGTGGCTGATGGAAGAAGAGGCAGACTCCCAAGGTTAAGTACTGAGCTGAACTCAAGAAAGCCAGTAACAGAGAGGGAGGACTGATGACCAAAGGGATTAAGACTGGGCTGGTTTAACCCCCAGAAACAGCTGACCTGACAAAGGTTAACTCTTGAATCCCAGGCATCAGCTTGGGAATCCAGCATGGGACTGATCAAGACCCCCTGAATGTGGGTGTCAGTGAGGAGGCCTAGGTAATCTATTGAGCCTTGGGCAGTAGATCAGTATTCATCCCGAGTATACACACAAACTTTGGACTCCCATCCAACAATGTGAGATGCACTCTCACCCTGAACTCTTAGTGGAGGGTCTAGGCCCTGCCTTGGATGAAATGACAGACTATGAACACCCCCATGGAGGGCCTCATCCTCCCTGGGGAAATGAGGGGATAATGGGGGGGAGGGGGGAGAGCACAGGAGGAGGGGAGGGAAAGGGAGAGGGACCTGGAAGTGACTTGTGAAGCAACCTTGCTTCTAATCTAAATTTAAACTGAAAAATAAATTTAAAAAAGACTGTATTTCAATAACATATAGCTTGAAAAAAAACATGAAACAGTCCAATCTATCTTAAGGTTGAGAAAATTACATTAATTGTATGGTAAATGAAAGAAGGCAAGCAATAGACCTTGAAATATGTAACATGGGATTTGGGGGATTTTGCAAATTTCTACTGATGTTTTATGCACTTACTTGGCTTAAATAAATGGTAAACCTATTGACAAAGTACTTCTTGTGTGTTTGAATATGTATGAATTTCAAGTTAGGATATCCAGGCACATAACTAAGAGTCATTCCAACTCTCTAGGAAATGTATTTTCTACCCACTTTTGTAAAGTGTGGAACTGACTGAAAATATGACAAAATCTATTTAATTTTTGTGGTACTATATAAATATAAGGGAAGAAGAAAGAAGAAAATCATATATGTCCTTGTTCTTATTCTTACTTCCAATAATTTATTCTCCAAGAATATCTTGACCTACAAAAATGCAATGTGAGGACAGTTGGTAAAGATTAGTCTTCACTGAGGGCTCATAAAAGAGTGGCATTATATACTGGCTTTAGATGCATCCTTGGAAAGTAGGCATTGATTATCGTGCATTCACATAAATTTAAGAATTTTGTTAAACTGTCATTTGTTTTATGTTTTAGTTGATTGGATACTGAAGAAAAGCCAACTCTATAAAAAATAAAGTCCCGTAAGCTGTTTGTAAATATTTCTAATCACCTAAAATAAATGGAAATTTATGACTATAAAGGAAATTTTAATAGCCAAGCCCTATTTATAGGTGTGCAACATTTCTTATAAATTAATATTACTTCATTACTTTAATTAAAACTAATTGAGAGAGTTTAATTGTCTTGATAACTGGAAGCACTAAAAATATTCAAATTATAATGTAGTGTATTAATTGCATACAAGTACTTAAAAATAAAATAAGAACTGGGAAAATACATGGTTCCCACCTATTATCTAAATAAGAAAAAAGAATGAGTCATTAAAGAACATTGTGTGTGAGTTGTCTATATTTCAATCTTATTGCACACTACTTCAAATGATTCACTGTTCTATTGAGAGGCCTGATCTTTTTCAAAAACCAATTTGCTTTTCCAGACCTGACAAACTTATGAGTAATTTGCATCTATCAGGTTAAGTTGTACATGTATGCTGACATCCAAATTTGAGGACAGTTACAAGGAGAGAAATTCTTTATGTATCTTTATAAACTGGGAGAGTTACATCTTAGCACAATTTGTAACATTAATTTTTTCTAGCCATACAGAAACAGGTAAACATTTTCTCAGAATTAAACTCATTATGTTAGAGTTTAATCCCCTTACCTCATTTTTTCCCATAATAAACACATAGCAGTAAACATTTTCCCCTTAAAATGATATTTAAAGACAAGGTAAACAGAAGAGCAACAAAATAGAATAGAAAACTGCTGAAGGCAGTAGAGGAATGAACTCTGCCTCTGTTTAATTTGTTATCCATGCCCTTTTATGAGGTTTTCATGTACATGTACTCTGTCTATCTCAGCCCAAGGTCAGGCTTTTGTCAGTGTTATATAAAGATTGGAGAAGGAAGTCAATTCTGCAAGCCACTCAGCCTGCTGAAATCTATCTTTTCATTTCTAATAATCAGTTTCCATATACAGCATATCTTATAAAATAATTCATATCAGTAGAAGCAGAATACACTTTTAATTCCTGCATCATAGAAAAATAGCCTATGCTAGTTTGATCCAAAAAGTTATCACTGTGCTGACTTATTATCTATAGTTAGACACACCAGAAATATCTTAGGAATTTGGATATATTTTTGTAATAGCTGAGATCTATAACTGCACATATAATTTTTCTGAGAAGACATCATCTTCTGATAATTAATCATTTATTCCTTTGTCATATTGAAAATGAACATATAGAAAACCTCTGTAATAAGCCCTGTTTTGGCTGCTGTGCTATGAAGCAAGTTACACTGGACAACAGATTAATGACCTGATTAATTAAGACTTTTGCTATTAAGCTTATGCACTAGTGTGTGTTTCTAACGTCTCAAGAAAAAGGACTATCCTGTCAAACACCAACAATTTCTTTTTTCTTTTTTGCATTTTTGAAAGCTTTTATTGTGTTACTTATAACACTAATGACATATATTTACATATAATTCATATATGTTTACATGTATAATCCCTTGATTTTAATTGCATATGTATTAGCTGGTTTATTAGAGCATTTTAATGTACAATGGTTTGCTTGGTAACTATCAATTACTGTTAATTCTTTTTTATTTTTATTTTTAAATTTAAATTAGAAACAAGGTTGCTTCACATGTCAATCTCAGGTCCCTCTCCCTTCCCCTCCCCTCCTCCCACACCCTTCCTCCAACCCCCCAATATTCCCAGGGAGGGTGAGGCCCTCCATGGGGGGTGTCCACAGACTGAAACAGTGAGCTGGAATCAAGTTTACACCCGCCATGTTGGAAAGCCAGCCAGCAGCTTTTTCTGCTTGAATTTTAGCAATGTTCTTTAGCCTACATAAGACATGTGGCTAGAAGAACATAAACTTTTACAGTAAAGTCAGATTCAGATGAAGAAAAATGTAGGTAGACTTGGGAGAGTAAAAGAAACAAGATATTGGAAAAATAAAAATAAAGTAGCTGGGTGTGGTGGCACACACCTTTAATCCCAACACTGCAGAGACAGAGACAGGTAGATTTCCAATCACTTGATTTTTAATAAATTATACTTTCATAGTCACTACCATATCTTTCTTTTATTTTTAAATTTGAATTAGAAACAAGGTTGTTTCACATGTCAATACCAGGTCCCTCATCCTTCCCTTGCCTTCTCCTCCCCAGGGAAGGTGAGGCCCTCCATGGTGGTATCCATAGTCTGTCATTTCATCCCAGGAAGGGCCTAGGACCTCCCCCAAGGGTCAAGTCTGAGAGAGCATCTCTCATTGTGGGATGGGCACCCAAAGCCCATTTGTATGCCAGGGATAAATACTGATCTACTACCCAAGGCCCCATAGATTGCCTAGGCCTCCTCACTGACACCCACATTCTGGGGGTCTTGATCAGTCCCATGCTGGAATCCCAGCCATCAGTCTGGGGCCCAAGAGCTCCCCTTGTTCAGGTCAGCTGTTTCTGGGGGTTAAACCAGCCCAGTATTTACCCCTCTGCTCATCAATCCTCCCTCTCTGTCTCTGGGTTCCTTGAGTTCAGCTCAGTGTTTAGCTGTGGCTATCTGCCTCTGTTTCCATCAGTCACTGGTTGAAGGTTCTGTTTCCCAGACTCTCTGGCAGTGGGATTGTAGGCTGGCACTTCCCTGATCCATGTCTAAAATCCATATATGAGTGAGTACATACCATGTTTCTCTTTTTGTGACCGGGTTACCTCACTCAGGATGGTTTCTTCTGGTGCCATCCACTTTCCTGAAAATATCAAGACTCCATTTTTTTCTGTTGAATAGTACTCCATTGTGTAAATGTACCATGTTTTCTCTATCCACTCTTCAGTTGAGGGGCATCTAGGTTGCTTCCAGGTTCTGGATTTTTCTTTTTTCTTAAGGACTATTAAACTTGAAAAATTTCCCATCCATGGTTAACTGGTCTCTTCATTTTTTCTTTTCTCTTAATATAGCAGAATTAGTTATTTATAGAAAATTCAGTATTAAAAGCTCTTCACTTTGATGTCTGGTCTGTCAGTACTCATATATTCAGGACAATGGAGATTTCATAAAGAGAGGAATGTAAGACTATGTCAAATTATAAAAAGTAGAACTAAATACTGAGAACTGTAGATAAGATAGATTGCATTTAACGTATAGACTTTTAAAGACTGCAGAAGAGGCTAGACCCTTTGACTATGTATGTTTCGCTACGCTTTTCCTGTTCTAATGAATTTTACAATCTAGAAAAAGAAAAAGCTAGATTTTATTGCTCTTTGTTAAGTGTATTATAATGTCAATAGCCATTGGATTTAATCCAGTAGACGTTTCTATAGCACCTATCTATCTGCAATGATTTTTAGTAGTTCTTTTAAGGACTTCTTATCTAGGTATTGTGAACCTTAACCTCTCACCTAGGTAATGCTAGTATCTGTGTTTACTAGGTATTGTGATTTAATTTCTTCATTCACTTGATGGGGCTGATAAGAAAGCACTGAACAACATACTTGCTTCAGAGAGCAGATGTTATTACTCTAACAAATTTAAAGAAAATTTCAGCAGTAGCTCCTAAAGCCTCTGCAGTGCCACTTCTGATTAAAGTGTTCAAATGTGGATTTTTTTTTCAAAACAACATAGTGGAGTAAAATAATCACCAAACCATCTCACTTTGAAATTTTTGTTTGCTTTATTTTGAGTTTAATTTGTGTGTGTGTGTTTGTGTGTGTGTGTGTGTGTGTGCGTGTTTGTGTGTTTACAAAGGTTGTGGTATTGAATACATATATGGGATTTATAATACAGCATCAAAAGAAAACTCAATTTTGCATATTAGAATCATTTCATGGTTATGTGATTCATATAAATGTGTTATATGTGGTACCTCTTATCTTACATTCTAACCCTGTTGTTCTGATAAAATGTACTGAAAAAAAAACACTTAAGAGAGAATATATTTATTTTACCTCAAAGTTCAAGGCATAATCCACCATAATGAAAGAAAAATTATTTTTTATTTTACATCCTGATCACAATTTCCCCTTACTCCTCTCCTCCCAGTTCCTCGACTCCACCTCCCCTCTGCCTCTACAAACTTATCCACTCCTTCCTTTCTATTCATAAAAGGCAGGCCTCCCATGGATATTAACAAAATGTTGCATGTCAAGTTGTGGTAAGACAAAGCACCCTACCTTGTATTAAGGCTGTGCAAGGCAAACAGTAGGACAAATGGGGTTCCAAAAGCCAGTAAAAGAGTCAGAGACAGCCCCTGCTCCACGGTTAGGATTTCCTTAAACAAACCAACCTACACAGCTGTCACATATATGCATAGAGATTAGGTAAGTCCTGTGCAGGTGTCTTCATTTTTTGGTTCATTCTCTGTGAGCTCTTATGAACCCAGGTTAGTTGATTCTGTGGACCCTCTGGTTCTTAAGTCTTTTCTCACCCTCTTCTTCAGGATTTCCCACCTTGATCTAAAGTTTGGCTTTGAGTCTTGGCATGTGTTTTTATCCAAAACTAGATGAAGGCTCTCTGATGACAATTGGGTTAATAACCAACCCATCAGTGTCAAGACTTCCATAGGAGGGATTGGATCACCAACCAGTCACACAACCTTTGATTTACATAGAGTCTGTCTTGTCTACATGGGGTTCTGTGTAAGAGTGGCTCAGAGACTGTGGGAGTGCCCAACAAATGACTGATCCAGCTTGAGACCTATGCCAGAGGGTTGAGCCCACACCTGACACTGTCTGAAGCACCAGGGAGTCAGAGACTGGATGGCCCAGAGACCTAACTTACAACCAAATATGACTAGAGATAAAAATGTCAATGTAATGATGCCTAAAGATAGTCTGCTATACTCATAGACTGATGCTTAGCCCAGTAATCATCAGAGGCTTCATCCAGCAACTGCATCAGAGACCCACAGTCAAACATTATCCTCTTCTTAAGTGTCAGTACAAGGGGAGGGGACATCTTCACCCCATAATTAATGTAACCAGGATAATCCCGTAGACAGGCAATTCCAGAGGTCCATTTCCCACATGAGTCTAGATACTAATAAATAAGGACCCTAACACTCCCAAATATGTCACATGATTTTCAAGCATCCTTTTCTCTGAATAGCATGTGGTAATCGAAACACAAAAGATTACCATGGTCTGTGGTTCTCTATTTGGATATCTAGTGACAGAATGCAAAAGACTAAAAACTGTTGAAAATGTCATCCAAAAAAGAAAAAGAAAGAAAAAGAAAAGCAACAATCCTAAGAGCATGAACAGCACTTCTTCCTGCTGTGTTTGGAGAGGATGGATCTTTGCCACTTGTAACTTTTTTAGAACCCTGTGTTGTCTCCAACTTGTCTCTGAAAATATGAGCATGCTATTTTCATCACTGAAAACTCACATTCTTTTAGTGATAATGAAGTTATGTTGGATACAGTTGTTCAAATGGATCAATCAGATGGGTACTACTTCATTGATGGGAACTTACACATTTCCTAAGCTACAGAGCAAACTAGAGAAAGTAACGGTTGCAGAAAAATAAAGGATGAGCCCAATAATGTTCTACTGAAATGCCAGCTTTCCAACTGCTTGATACAATGTTGGACTATGATTCATTACAAGCTGGAGAGATGGATTGATACAACATCAGGAAGGGAATGGGAAGAAAATTTGGATGGTGCTAAGGGAAAAAGATTGTAGAAATAGGCATAGAGTTATGGCTCAAATTATTAAAGACATCTGATGAGCTCTGACCCAGGCTGTGATTTTCTCCCATTTTTCATTCCTCGGGCTACATTCTTATTCAGGCTTTTTATCATCACTGCACAAAGGGAAAGGTAACTCTTCATTAAAAAAAACCTAACACGAAATAAGCATTAGAAAAATTTTCACGTAAGGTGTGTGCTTTAAAAAAGCTCACCCTCTTGATTATGTATAGGTTAATATTTACTTTCACTATATATTTTGATATAAAGAAATTCTGATAACAGCCTGTCTTTTGCAATTGGGTATTAAGTGTAGGATCATGGGAGGAAATTCTTTACCACCAAGCTATAGACAAGCATTTTTCATTTCATTCCTTGTTGATAATTTATTCTTTTTCTTTTATTTGAGACAAGATCTTTCTAAATTGCCAAACATTGTTTTGTAACACAGGCAGAGAAGTGTTGCTATCTCCTTGCTTCAGTCTTCTGAGTAATTGATAGTACAGGCCACAAGGCTTGTCTAACCTTTCAAGGGCAGTATTTTCTCTTTCTGATATATTTTTTCAACACTGAATTTTGAACCTAAGGTCTCCTATGCTAACCAAGCTCTTTGCCACTGAGGTATGACCAGGACCCCGATCTTTCTAGTGAAAGAATCTAGAAATAATAGATTCCAGGAGCTTAAGTGGTTGGTATTAAGCCATATACTGAGACTATACTGAGCAAGGATTAAAATCCCGATTATCCTCCTATAAAAAGTGATGCATTTTTAGAATAGTCAAATGTATTTCCATCAGGCCTCCTCTCTTGAATTGAATATCTGATACCATATATCTGAAATGCCAACGGTCTAGCTTGGCATTCACTTGGAAGCAAATACTTAGAGCTCTCTCTATAAGAAATTGTCCTAATTGCTCATATAAATAAATTGCATTTGCCCATAACTAACATCAATTATTCTAGGATCTTAACTTCTAGGTATTGGAAAGATATATTTTATGTTACTTCAAGTTTCCAAATTTAAGAATAAGTCTAGCTGCAAATAAAAGCCAAGAAAATGAGCAGCCATTTTACTTTTCAGTCTGCTGTCTTCATATTTTATTTCACCATGTAAATATTTCTGTAGAAGAGGTATAATCTTAGAGAACTCTTTCTTTCCACATAAACAGATGCTAAGTCTCTATCTGCAGACCTATTAAGTGCCCGCGAATGCCAAAGAAACTTTAATTAGATATTATTTTCTTACTCCTTTATAAATTTACCTTACATACCATAAGTAATTTTTTCCAGTCTCAGTATAGTCATTACTAATACTATATTACCATTTTATAGAAAATAATATAATAGGTGATCAGGGCATAGGTTGTACTTTTTATATCCATATTCTACCACTTTTGAATTATTAGTACATCTTTCAATTTTCTACTCACATTTGCAGCAAAATCTCAGAAGAATACTGATAAATAACTAGGGAGAGAGACCAGACAATAAAGAATCATATGCCTTTGGAAAACGTGCAAGTATACCTTTCCCATAGGAAGTGTTTGGAGTTTAACCCTTGGACATTAAATTCTCCAGAGATTTATCTGTAAAGTGATATCTGCATTCTGTAATGTGCAATTACTTCATATGCAGATCTTCTGAACCTATGCGTTTTTGTGTTGCAGCGAGAAGCAATGTCCTAGGCAATTTCTTAAAATTATTAACTGAATGCCTTAAAATACATTCTGAACAGACCTAGAATAGCAGTTCTTAGAGAGAAAACAATACAAGAATGAAAAAAAGTAAATTCAATAAATCACTTATGAGGCATTATATCATTTTCAGTTGCTTTAATATTTAATTATGTCTTGATACATGTAAATATTTTTAGTAAATATTTTTTAGTAAAAATATTTTTTCTTTTCTTCAGGCAAAAGTATTGGATGTTTTGTTTCAATACCATAGGATTTAAATTTGAATTTCACCTTAATCTCAAGACCAGCATTGCATATAAGAAGAACTACCAGAACAGAAACTCAGCTCTGTGTTCAATTACCAGCTTAGTGTTCATTTTTTGTGGACTTTAGCTGTGTTATGTACTCTGGTATCCATAAGGCCCATGCCCATTTCACGTACATAGTATAAAATATGTATAATGGATATATTGTGTGTTTTGTGACATTTAACCAACCCAGACTCTTTAGTACATAGATTATATGATATAAATCAACCCAAGTTTGCATATAATTCATCAACCTTCCTGGAATATGCTCCTCTATTAGCTAGAAAGTTGTTCTTTGTTTCATATTTGTTAAGCCTTTTATGTGGATGCCATCAGAATGAATGGAGTCTTATTTAAATGAATATCTTCCTTAGTTAGATGCAATTTATCAGCAGAATGCCTATAAAAGGAAGGAACAAAAGGACCAGAATTATTTTATTAATAATCCTGAAAGGACATTTTGATTTGTTTGCAACTAAGTAAAGCTTTTGTGATTCTCACTCATGAAAAGGGACATGAGTGGGAGGGTCAGAAGCCATGTCACTATAATATAACAAAAACAACTGAGGATTCAGATGTTTCAGAGACAAATGTGTAAAGTCTTCAAGTAAAATTCCAAGTTCTTTCAAACATATTTAAATCATGTTAGAATTCCTGTCATCATATGATCGCAGTCAACTAAAACTTTCTTTTCTCAGTTTTTCAAAAACTATTTCCCTTCCCATTTTCTGCACTTAAAGTATAAACAGTAACAAGACACTCTTTTGACATAAGCAGAGTTTTGCAAATTGTGGAGAAGAGGGTTCTACAAAGAAGCTAGAAAGAACTGAAAACAACAAGTTAATGAACAGGCATCAGTGAGCCTCATTCTGGTGCTGTTTTCCTGACCTCACTGCCCAGAAAATTGAAGGCAAGGATGTAATTATTTCACTAGACCCAAGATAAATGATAAATGGGTGTTTATTGGGGAACAATTACACAGAAAAACACAAAGCTCCCTGGGAGCATTTCTCTGCCCTTCTTACCTGATCAGCTAACTCACCAAAAAGAGCACTGGAAGGAAAACCACTGCCTCAAGTTTTCCTCTTTCAGCTTGCTTCCTCCAAAGGCCATACCCAAGGGTGGTGTGGCTACCATTACAAGTTCACTGCAAGACCACTACAGAAAATTACTCTAGATTTGCCATATTATAATATACCAAAGAGGACAGCAAAAGTTAGTTTTAAATATGTTTGCCAAAATTCAATTTATTTCATTTTTTGAACTATTTTAGTCAATACTAATTTCTTACCTGCAGCTTCTCAGTACATATGGGACATTTTTTTTGCAGACCTCTTACTAGGAAATCCCAAAGTACAAACTCCCTTCTAGACTGATGGATGAATATCAAGTACTTTGAAATGTTTAATTAAATACCTTGGGTCTATGTTACAATCTAGATCTAGGATCTGAGGAACAAATAAAATTCAGTAGCATTTGATAGGGCTTAAAAGAAATAATGGAATAATTAAAATCCTTTTCACTCTTTTCTATATTGGTTTTAAGGTTCATGATCTATTCAGACTAACTTTGAAACCTCTAGCTCTTAGTGGGAAGGACCGATTCTATTCATGGGTAGCATATTACTGAATTAGGTATATGACTAGAATAAGAGAACTGCAATCTATGACCTATAAGAATATATCAATAAAATATTTTGGGTATTAAAAACTTCAATAGCCATGGTTATTGCAAATGTACTTATTTTTGAAGTATAATTCTCATGTAATATATTCATATATACTTACACAATATATATACATATATATGTGATGTTTTATTACACAGTAGACAGCAATATGCTATACTATAAACTAAGAATATTCTTTTGGGGGGGTTGAGAAAGATTTTTCTGTGAAGCTGGGCTGTAGACCATGCTGGCCTTGAATTCACAGAGATCTTCCTGCCTTTGCATCCTGCGTGCTGGGATTAAAGGAATTTGCCACGATTGCCCAGCTGAATATTCTTATTTTTACATAAATATCGTTTTTCTTCTCAAACGACACCCAGAATTACTGTTTCCTAAATCATTCATAAAAGTTTGCATTATCTTTTTAAATATTCTAGCATATAATTTTCTAGGAAATTGAATTATTATGTTTATCTACAATTTATTGTCAAGTCCATGCATTTTGTGTTTTAATTATTCAGAACTTAAGGACTTTTTTCTTTTCTGTTTTGAAAATTACTATTTTATTCACAGTTTTCTGAAGTAGCTTGGATATCATTCAATCCATATATGATGATATGATGTACAGAGGCCACATTGCACTAAAAAATTCA